GATTGTAGTTGCGTGTTGCATTTCTTGTAAAGTATTGTAGTTGCGTGTTGCATTTCTTGTAAAGATTGTAGTTGCGTGTTGCATTTCTTATAAAGATTGTAGTTGCGTGTTGCATTTCTTGTAAAGATTGTAGTTGCGTGTTGCATTTCTTGTAAAGATTGTAGTTGCGTGTTGCATTTCTTGCTTTTCGACAGCAATTGATGAGATTCAAACTTCTTGAAGCATCTTCCCTTTTGATAAATCTTAAAATTCAGGAGTAGTATCAACCTAGCACCTGATCCAACAATTAATCCGATTATCACAATTAGCTTGAGTGCGAATAATGATTGGTAATATTGATTGGTAACGAATAAATTTAATAATGATTGATAATCATTGATTCAATTATTCTATCACCAGTTTTTATTTGAATAGTGCAGTTATCGTCAGCTAGGGATCATTTCACTATCACCTAAATTAACGGTGGCTCGAAATTTTTGGTATTAACGATAAAGACAGGTGAAACATTCAGTGCTACCACAGTTTTCAAAATGGATAACACATACTAAATAAATAATTATCTTTTATGGATAAATGATGACTAGAATGCCTTTTTTTCATAATTTAGGAAAAAAAAGAGTCAATAACTCTTGAAATGTAAACAATTCTATTCAAGAAGTTAATTTCGAAATATGCAATGATTAGATGTTCCTATTGCAGCATTGAAGAGTTGAAAGACATCAACCTGAAAATGTTACAAAGATTTATGATTTATTTTCTAAAATTCCAATTTAGTTGAACTGCAACAAGATTCATAATGATAAGGACGGAATGGTCTACTCAGGCATCAAAATTATAAAGCTGCTTTAAATTACCTAAATTGGAAGTGATCAAATATTAACAAAATTTCTACATCAGTAAGTAAACAACCGTAATTAGTGAAAACAAACTTTGAATTTAATTTCGACAACATCATCATTTATTACAACTTCTACAAGATCTTTCATTGACTCCAAATCTACGGGTTCACCGTTTCGATACAATTTTGGTTTCGGATCGCCTTTTCGACCACCCTTGACAGAAAAAGGGACTTTGATGGTTTCGGGTTTGCCACTCTCCATTTCGATCTGAAAAAGGTTCGAAATTATTTCCAAACAAAGAATAATTTAATGCTTCAACAATTTCATATGTAAACTGAAGTCTAATGTAAACATACTTTTTTGGGTTTCCAGTTCATCACCGGTCTCTTTTCAGCTTCCAGAACGGTAACGACACATGAACCTTCGAGGCCGCCGACACTGATTTCGTAAATGTCACCTTCGGAAATTTCAATTTTCGAAATCTTAAGAGTGTGCACACCTTGTCTAGATATAGTTTCAAATTTTCCACCAGGCATCGATGTTATAATTTTCCCATTTTTGGACCATATTCCAGGAGTTTTATTGTCCTGAAAATTATCTATGAATAATTTCTAAGATAACATTTTGTTCCAAAAATTTTTAATTCTGTGCCTAAAATATGCAGCACATTCTGAAAGGAAATTACTTTTGTTTCACAGCGCAAATCGACATCTTCTTTCTCGAAAACTTCTACATCGACTAACGGAACAATAAACTTATTGAGCGCTGCAATAAATTATACGTATAAATGTAGAAGAAAATATGATAATTTTAAGGAAAATACAGAAAATTTTTCAAGTAACAAAAAGAAAAACAATTCGAAATCCAGATGGCAATTCACAAATTTAACCAAATGATATAGAAAAAAAAGAGATTTATCGATTCAGCAAAAAGAATTCATGATGAGTTCAGCACCGTCAACAATGAGCTGTGCCAATGTCTGGTCATCCTTCGTTGTGCACTTGTACTCTCCATGGTCTTCCAATTTAGCGCTATTTATGATCAGTCGACGTTTTCGGTTCTCGGCTTCAGCAATGAATTTTTTCCATCAATTTTAATTTTAACCCCATCATGCCACCATTCAACATCCGCATCTTTATCATTCAAATCACAAACCAGTTGCGCACTTTCTTTTTCTGTCACTTTCTGTGACTTCAAGGGGATAACAAAGGTATGTCGTGGCTCTGAAATGAATTGAAGTTACGGTTGTAATGTGTGAATTTGTTTTTTGTTAAAAGATGAAGAGGCGATTTTGTTGCATAAGTGCATGATATCGATAAACGCTCTGCTCTTCAAATTTTTGATGATTTCAATACAAAAGGTCATTCAATTGTTGATAGATTTCAAGTTACTGTGAAGAAATGAGAAATATTTGAATATTAGTATCCATTGAAGATGTCCCAGTAATCCATTCAGAGCTAATGCTTAACTACTTATTATTAAATAATATTGATCTGCGGAACTTTACAAAGTATTTCTTCTTTTAATTAAACTGTTTTTGTTGCATTATCATTAATCCAACTTGCAAGGAAAGTTCGCTTATGTTATTCCAGCAAAACCTGATAAAAGACGAAAAAAAAACTAATATAGATCTCAAGATTATTGATGCAAGAAAAAGCAAGAGTTTGAAGAATAAAATCTTTCCTTCTCATCCCTTCAACAAGCTCCAATAAAAACATTTTCCGTTGGTTATAATTCAGTATTTAACTTCAGAAAATCTTGCCAGAATTCCCTAAACATTTTCTTCGCTTCCTTCTATCTTCCTTCTCCAAAGACCAAAATTGTATGATAAGGAAAGTCAAAGTTGTTAGATTTACGTTTACTTGTGGAAGTTAAATAAACTGAACGATGTAAAGTATAGAATAAACCCACTAGAAATGGGAGAAATTTTATGTAATTAAGTCGAAAAGCATTCTATCGGATGAGATTAAGCAACATATCTTGATTACATCCCATGATAACAAACGGACCAGGTCATCTATGCAAGTTACATGGGGTCATTTTGTTGACAACGGAACAGAAAGTGAAAGTGAGAAAAGTGAAGAAAAGTATTGTGCACCGAAAAGTGTGATCTTACGATAAACGCCTTTACTCAATAATATTCTTACAGTCAGTTTAATCTGTAATGGGTAAATTAGCCAGTTCAAGTCTCTTTCATCATGTATGCGTTCTAATAGCCTTCTCTGCTCAATCATTTGTATTTTTCTATCGTTTTATCTTATCCCAAATCCTCATAATACATTCATTTCATGTATTTATTCCACTTTTGCATCGATTTAATTACACAAATTCTTTAATGAGACGCTTTGAATATAAAAAAAAGCTGGTAGCGTATACGATCTTATAAATGATAAGGTGACCATTCTCGAACATGCAAACTGTTGATAGCTTATGATCTGCTTCGAACTATTTACTTTCTGTTCTACCCAATACTTCCAAATCTGTTATTATCCTCAATTCTATTATGACAGAAAGATGGTCGCACTCATATGAACTAATCCGTGAAATGAACAAAACTATAGGCAACGAGCGAGATTTTTCATGAAATGCAGCAGCACTTTAAAAATTTCCTCAAAATTATTTTCCTAAAATTGCTTTCAAAATTATTTGCGTAACATCTTAATTCTAAAGAAATCGAACTTCAGTATGATCAACCTGATGCACAATTTGACAAACTTGATGTAGTCGAATTTGGTCAAAATGAATAGTGTTTCAGTGGTTCGCATCTTAGCAGATTTCACATTCAAAAAATTTCGTGCAAGGAAGAAAATCTGCATACTTACCTTCAACGTAGACTTCTACTTTGCTGTAGATTTCATTAGTAATTTTAGCCATCCATTCGCCAGCATCTTCGTTGATGACTTCTTTGATTGTTAACGTAAAACGACCAATTGCATCGTTCTCGATTAAAAACCGTTTGTCAGAATCCCTGTAACGGGTCCAATTCTACTTTTTTTCACAGAAAATCAAATTTCCATCAACTGCTTATAATTCTAAATAAATTTAAACGGATTCAGGAAGAAAAAGAACTAACGAAATTGGTTTTCCATTGTGATGCCAAACTAGTGGGGCTCGCTTATTGTTTACTTTACAGGTGAGCACACCCTGTTTTGTCCTGTATATTTCTTGTGTGTTCGGCAAAGGTGCAACGAAGCTGTATTTCATTGGAGGTTCTATAAAAGTTGGCTAAAAATAACAAAAAATAAACAAAGATTCAGAATAAACCAAATTTATTCCCAAATTCTATGTCTTAGCGATAAAGTAACTGAACCAGCAAAAGTTTGGTATTCAAATTACTTCTTCATTGATATCTAAAAATCGTATACCATCAACAGTCAGAACAGCGGTTGTTGGTAAGCCATTTGCTTCGCAGGTATACTTTCCGCTATCATCAACTTCAGGATTGTTGATGATCAATGTACAGACCGCTTTTTCGGTTACAATTTTATACTTTAAGCCACCCTAAAACACTGCGAATTAAACAAGAATTTGACACAATTATTTGAAAAAATTTTAAATGCTTACGCTGAAAATTTCTTTCTTATTTTTATACCACCGGATTTTAGCATTCGGTCTAGAATAGGTACATTTCCATTCGCAAATTTTATCCACTTGCTGCTGAACAGTTTTATTTTCCAGTGGTTTCTCCCATTTCTCAATTTTTTTGCCAGGAAACAACGATTGGCGCCGTTCGGCATCTGTTATCGATTTTGTCCGCGACGAAGTACTTTTCTCATCATCTTCATCTCCACCTTCTTCATGCTCCCTTGAAATTGTAAATCACACTTAACCGTTGGCCGAAAATTACTACTTTTCAAAAATTAGTGCTAGGTTTAGTAACAAAATATTGGTTTATTGATGTTAGACTAAACTTACAAGGTATCACCAGTTTTAATACGTTATTTTCGCCATTTTTCAATTTACTTCTGCGAAGTTTAAACCTGTGTTTCAGCATTGATCTGAAGTCAAGTCCAGCTTCGGAAATGACTAATAATTTAACGGATGCGGAATCTTTGCCGTGTTTGTTTTCAATGGTTAGTGTATACTGGCCATCATCGTTCGATCGACATTTCTGCATAACGAGATTCACCGAATTATCCTGTTGATCCGTAACTATTCTGCATCGACCACCAGAAGGAATCTGAATTTAATAAATTTCTCTTCCAAAACCCAGTTCTGATGCCTTCCAAATAAAAGAAATATGTGAAAGTTTTGACCTCAACAAGTCCTTTGCTCCATTTGAACGTTGGTGCCGGATTACCTTCTACCTTACACTTCAAGACAGCTGTATCATCTGCAATAGAAACTTCACGCTTATTCTTTTCGCCATCGCTAACCAACAAAATAAATTTCGGGATTTGTTAGGAATTTAAACCATTCAGAAATGCCAAATGTTCAAACTTACACTACACCACGAAAACTTTAATGTTGCAGTGGAACAGAAAGTCATACTTTTTGCAACGGTAACATTTTCTGGGATTTCGAGAATCTTCGGTGAGCCTTCTGGACCGACATTTCTTAGTGGAGTTGAGGGTTTATCCGAAATTTCAGCAGCCAGATTTTCGTTACGCATGTCGACACTACTGCGCCTCTGAAAAATGGTGGACAATTCTAGGTGGAAGATACAAAAAATCAAGCAATTGCATCCTTAAATACGTATATTCAGAATTATAGCAACTCATAATGATTTATATATTGAGTGATTTTTTTTTTTTGTATGACAATTCATCACTAATGAAACATAGCAGATTTCAATCACTATCAGAGAAATCGTTTAATCTTTTTGGATTAATTTGTTTTTTAGGCTCAGTAATCAGAGAGTATTTAAGGCGTATTTTTTTAGTCATATTAGGCTAACTCTATTGGAGATTTTTTCCCTGCTATTACATACTCTTTAAACAAAAAATTGTAAGATTTCACTTTCCCTTATGAGTACTTCACCCCATTTATACGCGCGCAATTAATTCTATTTCCACACAACAATAAGTGTAACATTCGTTTAATAACGTGGAAAAGTTTGATTTATAGGAAATTTTAGAAAAACATACTCGACTCATTTTGCCGGTTATTGACTTCCTTATGCCACCTTCTGACTGAAAAAGGTTTTAAACATCAAATACAAAACTGAAAACAACCGCAAGACATACTGTTAGTATTTAACAACCACAGAAAAATTTTTTTTTCAGGAAAAAATTTTTTTTTTAAATCTTTTTTTTTTGCAGTGTTTCATCAGATTTCATCAGAAAAATTTTTTGCAACATTTCATATAGAAGTAAAATGATTTGGAGTGATATTGTAACGGCTCTTTAGGATCATCCTAAAACCAAAGAAATTTTTGCTTACTATTGCTGACGGTCTCTTGTAAGCAACTTCAGAGACCGAAGGCAGTTCTGAAATAGATTCTGACATTTCATCCCCTGAAGCGTCACCATCCAAATGCATTGCCACCAGTTCTTTTTTCCGTCCTGGTCCAATCCTTAGTCCAGATTCCGAAGTTTCATCAATCTAAAAAGCCTTTTTCTGCATAATCGGAACTGTGATGATGACTTTAGATCAATGTGCTTTAAATCCAAAACTTTACATCACGGAAAAGCTAGACTTCATTATGCTGTAAATTGCGAAACATGCTAATTTATGAAATCTAAATGAAGGACTTTTATGTTAGTTTCTAAAAATTAATTGTTTATGTTTGATTTTAAATAAGCTAAAAAAAATTTATTCAAATAAGACAAGGCTTATATTCAAGAAATAAAATCTGCATACAAAACAAATACATACAACTAGCACACATCCCAAATTAACACGGAAAAATAAATTTTGCTCTCATATGAAATTCCCAATATACTTTCATTTAATTTATTGATTCAACAAACAACTCCATACTTGGAAATACACATAAACTACGTTTCTTTCTTTTGTCTATAACAAAAATTGCTGAGAGCTAAATCAAAGGTTCGAAAATTACCTCTCTTCCTTCAGGTTCTGATTTCAAATCACGGAGCTTCGATGATTTGGATTTTTGATCCTCTTTCTTTTTTTTCTTCATTGGCTCCCTTGATTTTGCAGAATGCTTCTTTTCATTATACGTAATCAGTCCAGTGGATTTTTCTAACTCGGACTCCGAAATGAGATTAGATTCCAATTCCAGATTCTTTCCTGTAGCTCCTAGTGAATGCTTCGTTATCTGATTTGTTCTTGTTTCTTCTGCTTTCGTAGTTGTAGATTCTGGCGTTTCACTTGTCCGTTCCTCTGCCCCAGCTTCATCAGTTTTATTGGAACTATCCAGTGGTATTTTTTGCATTTCTTTTGCTTTTGCAGCGGAAGATTCATCTGCTTTATTGATTGCCTCAGTCATAGAAATGCTTGTCATCCTTTCTTTATTTGTCTCCTCATTAGCTACCTGAAAAGTTTCCGGTCTTGGTGACTTAGATTTAGGCCGCGGTGATTTTTGTCGCGATTTTTTTTCTTTTGATGGAGACGCCGTCACACTCTTTCGTTTTGCACCAGCTAAAAAAAAAAATGCAAAAATAAGCGCATTTCGGAAGTTCAAAGTTTATCATTTCATGGAAATTATTTCAAAAAATTTAATTGACGTCAATTACTGATTTTTTTTGTTCTAAATTTCTAGGTATTAGTATACATAGCAATTTAAAAACTTTCATCCAAAATCAGAAGATTTATTATTTAAATTAGTTGAAACTAACTTTCTGTTTATACAGTGTCTAAATGAAGAATTAATTCCATCGCTAATTTTCTTCCGATAATCCATTGATTCAGTTTACTACTCGGTAGTAGTAAATATATAAGGAAAAAAAAAATACTTACTACTATCAACTTCCATCTGCTCCGTTTTAATTTCTGACATTTCGGTTATTGATGAAACGTTCGTTTCCGTTTCCTGTGTTGGTGTTGCGGTTCTTGACTGTATTGATTTCCTTGGTGTACCTTCACGGGATTTCAATGATTTCTTTGGTGTTCCTTCTCGTGATTTAATTTGTTTCTTAGGTGAACCTGAAATTTTGAACCACTTTTTTTAAAAATTTACCCAAAATTTTCGTAACATAGAGAACAAACATTTTCTTTATTGTACAAATCAAAAACGAAAAAACTAGACAGGATAATCTCATTATACCTGGCCTTGAACCTTGTCGAGATGCAGGTCGAGGCGAAGTAGAATCTTTTTCATGAGATTTTTCAATTTTTTCATGTTGCTCCACTGGTTCTTGCTCAAAGTTTAATGTTAAATTTGCATTTGTTTCACCTAGATCATTTTTGATATTACACCTATATTGCCCAGCATCTTCCGCCACAGGATTCTGAAACAATAGAAAACTTACAACTCGAATTGTGTAATGATAACGAAACTCAAAAAAACGTCTCGTGAATTTAGATTTTTTGATTGCACTAAATATTTATATGCAATTACTTTTACATATGAAGATTTATACATGGAAAACAAGTAACTTACATGTAATTCTAGTTGTAAGAGATACGAGGATTCTCCAAGATCTGAGAAAAATATGGAGTAAAGAGCATTTTCATGGATTGGTACGCCATTTTTATACCAGGTACCATGCGGTTTCGAAGCACTCTTTACCCGACACTCCATCACGATTAATGCACCACCATCTTTTGGGATAATTCGTGGTTTGCTCAGAAATGTTGGTCCCTTGGCCACCCCTTTTTGCTCATCGCCAGCACCTGAAATTTTTATTAACAAAAATTTCAACAAATAGTTGAAACTTCCATAGTCGAGCAAACTTTTATTTCGGTTCATATTCTCAAGATTAATGTTTCAAAAAGCTCTTCAAGTTAGCAACCAAAAATTACTACGTACAAGAACACAGAAAAACGCATAAGTAGAGGTTAATCAGCCATAACCAGGAATATTTTAGATGAAATTCCCAATGTGGCTTTAAATTCCACAAATCGTTCTGCTTTTCAAAGCAAAATAAATATCTGCTAATTTTTCAAGCAAAACATTTCAGTAGGGTCAAATATTTAATTACGAAATCTCCCAGTCATAAAACTCTTCAGCGCATTATTAGTTAACTCTTTAATATTGTTCTAACTAAATTAATAAAAATTAATGAAGAATGGTGCACATAAAATATTATTAATCAGAGCATCTTTAAAAGGGAAATTGCAACAAATTTTAGAGCTTCATTCTCATAATAGTTAAAGAATAATAAGCTAAACAGTATTTGCGCAAGAAACGGATAGAGTTAATTTAAAGTAATAAAAATGTGCACCTTCCCAGCTTATGAGAGTTTATAATTTTCCATTTATTTCAATGTTATTGTTAATACCTCTGTTAAGATAATTTAGCAAAACCACCTAAAGCTAATTAGGGTGATATATTGAACTAATTTTTCTACTGATGTTGACATATGCTTCTTTTGGAAATGCCCAGCACGCCAATGTCGGTTTCCATCCCGCTTTCATTAAATTTTAAGGTTTAAGCAGTTCCAAAGATCAGCACCAGAATTAGTTTAAAAGATTTCACCTGCGAAATTAAGATTGATATTTGCATTTGATTCACCAAAGTGATTGCTTGCCGTGCATTTGTACGCTCCACCATCACCAACATTTGGCTCCTTAAATTCTTTTCAAATTCATTAATAAATTCCACTTATTTTGATGAAAAATCAGAAAAGAAACTGAAATACACAAAATTTGGTCTACCCGATGGTTTAAGCAACATTTGTTGAATTGTGATCAATTTCCTCAGTGAAGCAGTACCTCGTACAATGCGACGAATTTTAGAAAACTCAGTTTTTGAACATAAATTCAACAAAAAAAAGTTTCTGAAAAAATCATCAGATTGTCTGCGCAATTATCTGCATATTTCGCATTAAAACTTTTGTCGCCCGGTATTCAAAAGAAATGTCAATCCATCATGAACGTTTCAAATTAATGAACCGTTTCTATTTTTCAGTAATGTTCCATTCAGATAACAAGTCAGACTGTTTAAATTTCGTAGTCGGTGAGGATGTTAGTTAACGGAAGAGCCAATCAGCAGACAGCAAAGACCACACAATGTAATATAAATATGAAATTAACATGATAAAGAATTGGTTAACAATCAGATTTAGTCACAGTAACATAAACTGAAAATCCTGGTTTATTATTATTACTGGAAAAAACTGCTAAGCATTCATTAGCTGAGATATTGGTTTAGTTCAGTTTAACAGCTGTGTTTCACCTTTCATCAGCAATGTTCGCAGCTGTTGATTCTGCGGTTTCAGAGTTTCAGAATGTGATTGAAAATTATCACTGTGATTTACTCATCTTTGGTATATATGCTATGATCGTAGTACCAAAAGTTTTGATCTTAAACGTAAGCTTTATAAAGTGTTGAATTGAGACAGCTGGTGTTGGTGGATGATGAAGAGACAACTGTGATAACTATATTTGTCGCAATGGTTAGAACGATAGCACTACTGCTGCGTAAGAGAAAGGTAATTATTTATCTTTAAGCTATAACGCACAGTGATTTCTTTCAAGTGACTTTCCCCAGGGAAATTAGAAAATAGTAACATTTGGGCTAATAGTCCAGACTGTTTCTAAATATGCTTTAAGATGCTCGAGTGGATCGCGTAATCACTTCAAAGTGATTAGTGCAGGAAGTATTTTGTAAACCAATGGTTAAACGGTTAAAGGATGTGCTGAAGAAAGAATAAATTTTAATCCTCATTCAGTAGTTGGCAAGAGCCATTTCCTAATATCCGGGGCTGTTAGAAAATGATACCCTTATGTCAATAACTAATTTTGTTCCAATGTCTGTAGAACATGTATGGTATACTATAATAATTCAATTGTTTATGCAAATTAATACCGTAATGCTTAAGTGTCACTTAGTATGAATTTAACTTATTAATCCTTGCAGAAAGGATGTGTTCTTGTAATTATGGTACAAGTTGAATCATCTGTTATTGCCATGAATTGCTGCAAACATGCCAAGAAAGTTGAGGATAATACTTTGAAGATTGAAATTTAATGACTTCATAATTTGTTTGTCCTAACTTTTAATTTGTTATTCTCTTGAAAATTTATTATAATTTGTAGTGTTAATGATAAAGACTTTCAAAAAATTTCTGAATTTAAAAGCGTAAATTTCTACATTTTTGTCTTTTGCAAATACTTTTCATTTGCACCCAATAAAATTCGCTGAAATTATGCATGCATTTTGAATACAAGTCTTAGCTATACAAAAAACTTTCTTGAAATTTGGAAAAATTAACCATTACTAATAAGTTTCAATCGGATCATTATTAGAACACAACACAGGGAGTAAATATTAAAGGTAATCGATCCTTTCGTAAATGCGAATGAAAGATATTCTGAAATGGTGGACAACGAGCCATTTAATATGAAGCAAAAAATTTCATTGAGAAGCTCTTCTTTTCTCTTCTAAGAAGTAAAAACATTTAAAAAGTTTGTTTCAGCAACTCAATTTTACAACAAAGGCATTTTTTTTTTTTAAAAAGCTGAAACACACAGCATTATGAATCTGTCCCTAAAAATCAATGATTTTCTGCGCATCACTGATGAAGATGAAAGGTTGCATTACTGAATGATATTTAATATTATTCACCTGATAAATTTTCAAATTTTGATAAACTAATAATTCTTGATCCAACAAATTAGTAAATCAATTGCATTCTGCTGATCAAAAGACAGCGGCATGCATAAAAAAGTAATGGCGGTCGTATGATAAGAGGAAAAAATAAATGAAGGTGAATAATCAGGTACTCTTATCCTTCTTTAAGCTTGACTGAATGACAGAACAGAGAATGAAACATGCAACGTTTGATTATACAAGTAGCATATACATTGTGCTTCGAATACTTTATGTTCGTTGCAAACGAAGGCTTTAAAATTTAACTTGTTAACTTCAAGGCTAACTAGAGTGGAATGGATTCTTTTTAGAATGTCTTGTTGGGTGAATACAAACCAATAAAAATATATTTCCAACAAACTGAATTTTGGAATAAAAACAAAATCTAACTGATTTTATAAAACAAAACAGTGAATGATAAATTACTTACCTTAATGATAAGAATCGCTTTATAGAGACTGGATTGCAAACTGGTAAGTGTTAGCTCAACTCGTGGCCCAGCAACAATAGGTGTACCAGCATGGTTCCACACAATATCAGGCGGTGGATCAGCTTCCAGATAACATTCCATTAGCAAATCCCCCTGCGGGGTTTGTTGTATAGAAGGTTTCTGCGTAAAACGTGGCGCTCCAGGCATCTTTTCTATTCCTTTTCCTTGCTTACACGCTTCTAATCTAATCTATGATTCAGAGATTTATAGATAGCACTTGAAAAAACAACATGCAGAGTTTTTCTGTTTTGGTCGAAATGCCAAGTTGCGGGTTGTGTGCAGTGGTTCTATGATTTTCGTTTACGGTATGGTCCTGGAAAATCCAAATGTCTTAATTGACAGTTGATATGAGGGTCATTGCTATATAGTTTGTAACTGGATGAAACAAGTTAAACGAAAAGGTAATTGCGCGTTATCACTGAAACAGCAACGTTTGGATGCGAAGAGAAGGCAGATTGGTACGATGAACAGAGATAGCAAGGGTTTTAGCTTCAGTGCTTAAGAGTTCTACAACTTCAAAGATCCAAAATTTTAGGAAGTCGCCACACATCTCCTCCAACAGTGCTTGACTCTTGTTGTCAAGCAGTGTGGCAAGTTCGCAGTCCAACAAACCTCCCGCTCTAAAAATAAGTCTGTTTAGCCCCCCAACGGATCTCCCTTTTCCCCAGATTCTCCTTCTTTCCTGTCCTCTATATCTTTCTCGCCTTACCTACTGCTTCCCTACTTTTCCTGTTCAACCCTATTTTTTTTTTTTTTGAAATAAATTGTTTGAAATGAAATTGAAGAGCGTTTCTCGAACGCTTGTATTACTGCTACTGCTACTGCTGCTACTGCTGCTCACTTTATCCTTGCCTCTCACTCAGTAATGTGAAATTAATGTCATCGTTAACCGATTTAATACTCCTCAAAATCAAAACTGCTCAAGTACATAAATGCATAGATATCAACAACTCTGCAAAACATTATTTGCTCCCACGACATTATCACTTCACATTTCTAAAAATGCTACTCTAGCGAACATCTCAAATTTACCTTAGGAAAGTCTGAAATTAGTATTGGGAAATATTTAAGACTATGGATATTGGTCAAAATGCGCAGTTGGAAAAACAATCTGATCTACAAATAATTCCTTGAGAGCTATGTACTTCCGACCAAATATTGTTATAGTACAATGTGCACTGTATCATCAATTTCCCCTTCTGTTAAGAAGTAGAACATATCACTGAATGTGCAAGATGTCAACTTTTTTACAATGGAAGTGTAAATTAATCTAATACTTGGGGGGGTTTTTTTTTCTCTCTCTCTATATTTGTGCATTTCACATTTTTCTCAACTTTCATATTTACTTTCATATTTACTTGTCTATCCTTTTTAAAGTCGTGGAGGTACAGTAATAAATTAGAGCAAACACTTCCTCTTATTCCCTAGATCACGTTTTTGTTTCCAGTTACTTTGATAATAGTTAAGTTCCAAAAATGAAATTTTAAGGACAAATCTAGTAATGTCTAAAAAATGCTCTCCGATTATTATATTTTATGACGTCAACAATGAGTGCTTACAATCATTTTATACTTGAAGAACTGTCATTCCGAATGATTTGTTGGATTTAAGTACGTTTCGATATTGCTATCTAACAAAGAGACGTTTTTTTTGCAAAGCACAGTTTCTTGCTCATTTTTGAAGGGCACGCTAAAAATATTTATACAGATGTGACCAGTAGTATTATTGATTTATATTTAAGATAAATACTCCTTCCTCTTTCTCTCTTTGGATAAGAAAAAAAAATCGATATTTAAATCAAATCAAATTCACTGAAAGTTGCAACAAGAGTCCCAATAACATACAGGCTACACAACTGATAAATGAGAAGATAGTGCAATGTAGGCATTTACTAAGAAAGTCTGATGCTTTGTATTATTAGACATTCCAGACATTTGAGAATCATATGCGTATACGAATTTCTGTCACTTGAATTTTTAACATTCCGACAAATGTTCAGAAAAGTTATAAAATTTCATGCATATCCACTTTGTGTCTGACAATGCAAAGAAGTTGTTTTCTTACTTTGTGAAACTTTTAAAATCTCTGAAAATGATACATTTGTGATGCCTTCAGGTCCTTTTTATAGTCGTTCACTATTTCATAAAGCAGGTAATGCTTGCTTACTCTCCAATAAAATGGTGTAAATTTTTTTAAAAGAACATCGAAGCGAGCCATTGACTTCGTAATAACTACAGTGTCGCAAGAAATTCTTTATTTGATTGGCCTACATAAATGTATAATCAGTGAAGGAGAAGTGATGCTACGGAGTGATTAGTGTTGAACTTAATTTTGCCAAGAAAAAAAAGAAAGGATTACAAACAATTTCATTAAATTCAGATTATGTTCTAATAACAGTCGAAAAGGAGAAAGCAAAAAGAAATTACGGTTAATTGATTTTATTGTACCTTGGTTTTTTTCAAAAGTTTTATGATGTTACAAAAGTTTATTAAAAATTCATTCTTAAACATTCTGCTCTTTCTTAAAACGGTAATTGTTATAATGGGATGCTTAACAGTTAGTTTCTCAAGACGTAATTCTTTGGTATAAAAGAATTGAAATTTCAATTCCATCAACAAAATTGACGAAGAAGGAGCAACTACTTTTCTTGTAGCTTCAAATAAAACGGAACAATAAACAATATCGTGTGTTATTTGGGTAAAATCGGAATTGATCCAATAAAAACAGTTTAAATAGTGGGTAGATGTTGCTCACATCTTTGTAACTGGTGTTTAATTTTGCAATTATGAGGAGAGAAATGTATAACAAACAGCGATGAGATTATAAATCATCATAATCTAAGAACTGCTAATTTAAATTCAAGTTATGTTTAGCAGAATTATTTGGTGAATTACTGAAATGGAATAGCTATTACGTTAATTTTTAATTGTAACATATGTTGAGACAAGTGTGAAAGAAAAAGAATTTACTAGCATTATCATAAATGAATAGGTAATATAATGAACATTTAGATTAAGTATTTCAAGAAAGTGCTATGAGTAATGACTACATTTATTTTTTTGACAACATCTTACATGAGGATGAAATGAATTCAGTGACTCTCAATTTGAAAAGCACTAGTTACAAGAAAACATATCCTAGAACTGCACAAACATTACAACATGGGACATACTGAATCTTTTTCGTTTTCCCGTGCATCTATCTAAAGAGAAAATTACCTGTCGAATGTAAAATAAGAGGGTTTTAAGGTTTTGAATAATTTTTAAGGTAGTGGTATTGAAATGACTTATCAGAACTTTCTTTGATAAGTCAAATTTGACATAAGTAGCTATCTAATTTACTTTTCAAATGTGAAACTAAAATGTTACGGTGCTCTTTCTGAAACTTCCAACAAAAATAACGTCTTTTTGCATACGAATTAGAGTTCAAAGTGCTTCAGAAGTGATAAGTAAAAAAATAAATCAGTTAGCAGTGTGACTAGGAACCTGGCACACATTCACGTTTCATATTTTAATTCTACAAAATATATCAGTCTGTTGAAATACATTCTAACAAAATATTTCCTTTCGGATCCAACTTGTGATTTGATTATAACAACGAGAAGGTAGAATTCGCCAACATAAACCGCATCATTGTCTTTTTTTCTTCGCTTTTTTTTTTAAAATACTGACGTACAAGTGATATTAGTGGTAATATGTGGTATCCAGATGCAATATTCGACTCACTAGAATTTTTAAATTTATCGCTGAATGGATAATAAACAGCTTACTAAAAAATTCAACCAAGTGGCCGAATTCAAGAATCAATTCATTTCACCAATAAAAAATTATTGATACCTTTCTAATTTCTAAATCACAGTGGATTCCGATCCTTTTTTTTGTCTAGATGAATAAATTCTCAATCAAATCAATTTCTTTTTTCGGAACAAAAAATAAAAAAAGGAAGAAATGAAAACATCATGGTAATTGAAGTGACTGATAAACCAATTTCAGAGTTTAAGTAAAAACATTTGTCCACTCTGATTTCAGAATAATTCCTGAATAGATATGTACCATTTCCTCCGTCAACACTGATCCGAAGGTGATGTTTATGACAGAAAACGCATAGATGTAGAGAAATATTTGGGATAAGCAAATAAATTCGGGTAAGAACTAGGAAAGAAAGTTCATCTGCTGGTTTGTGTAAACAGAAAAGCAATAAAGAAAATGCCGGGAAAGCAAGGGGTAATGCCGGAAAACAAGGTATTGCAATAAGAACTTTCCTGAAATATAGAAGGGAAAAAAATCTACACTGAGAAACATGAAATGTTGTTTTCTTCATTTTCCGACAAATCGGGAATTTCTGGAGAACAAAAGTTCTGGTTTTCTTTCCCCCTGAAAAACTAGGACAGGGAATGGAACAGACTAGTCGGATTGAGTCAAATCTACAATTCAAACTGAAGGAAGAGGGGAACAAAATTCAGGCATCTGATTGTTATTTATATCTGTAAACCCTTTTTTTTCTCTCTCTCTTTCTCTTTTCCAGAATTTTTTTAAAAACTTGTACCACATTAGAATATCATAAGAAAAAATAATGGTACAATTGCGGTTCGTGGAAGTTTCAACAAATCGAGAATTGAAGAGATGAGAAAAGAAGAGGGAAAAAAAAGAATACTTATAGAGCTTTGGACGGAAAGATCCACGATGAGCAAGACGGAAGGATGGAGAAGTTAAAAGTACAAAAATTTGTTTCTAGTTGAATTCATGTTGCAGATCAAAAGTTCCTTTCTATTTTGCAAATGATCGAAAACTTCTCCTCAGTTAAAGGTGTCGAAAGCAGTTCTCAGGAAGGACATTCACTCTTGTCTTGGAAGGAGCACCAAAAGTGAAAAGCGTCAAAAATTGAAGGATATAAAAGATTAAGGAGAAGTAGCAATTTAAAGACGAAAGCAATTGCAGAAATATAGCGAAGTAATGACAACAGGGAAGATCGTTTCATCAAGTCTGAAGGTACGTGTGCAAATGTTTTTCTTTACGTGTATCTGCTTCTGTGTTTGTTAACACTGTGTGTGCATTTATGCATATCTCTCTGTATATATACATACAGGAAGTTTTGAAACGAAAAGTTCCAGCTATTCGAGATTTCTCTCGTGTTTGAATTCCTCAGCCTCTTCTCTCCTTCTATCTCCTTCGGTTTTGTTGCATTTCCTGCAGCTGTTATTTTAGCGATAGAGCAGAAGATAGTGTGAAGCCACTACGAACTTCGTTAGTATAGCTAATTAGTTAGACTAAAATCGTCACACATAAACACACGCACAAACATATACATAGACACATGCACACATACACATACATGCATGCATGCACACATATACGTGCAGAAATCTAATCCTTAACTCTTATTTTCATTTTTCAGTCTTCATCATGCGTTCTTCCACAGCTACTCTAGCTGCTTCGAAGAGTTCAAAAAATTGACGTGAACCTTAGCTCGAAGCTTTTGTCTCCCAGTGCAAATCATCAAGACAGTGAAATACCGAATGTCTGCACTGGTAGTGGTATGTTGATAAAGAAATATTCTTGTTTACTTATTTATTTCTCATATAACTATTTCCCACAACAGGTGTAACTTTTTCCGCACTTATGGATCGATATTAAAACAGTAAACAGCATAAGGGGCTTGGAATTCAAGCATCCAACGATGCGTTCTGAGCTTACAAATTTTTTCATCGAATTTGGTTTATAAGGATGACAAAAGAGTAAACTTGATTGATTCACTTGATAATTTGTAATTAAATGTTGTCATTCATTAAGGATAAGAAGTAAGAAATCTATTAATTTATCAAGGACAGCAAAAAAATACAATTTTAAAAAGTAAATTATGAAAAAAACGATTACGGAAAAAAATTTTTTTAATTATGATTTTTAAATTAGTAAAATTGAATGTCATTTACAAACAATTCAAATTAGACTGGAAAAGACCAATGTCAAGATGTTTAAAGCTTTATAAGCATTTAAACAAACAGTGTATTTGCCATCGATTTTTAACAAGTTCTTTATATTTACGATACAATGCCTCAATTTTATTAATGCATAACATTTTTCCAACTTTCCGGGTAGTTCATTTATAGGATTCATTGATTTGCGAGTTATCAATAACCAATCGTTGCTTCAACAATGTCTTTCTCATATGCAACTTATGACTTCCAGCATAGGTGACTTTGAAAAGCAAGAGAAACACCAGATTATGTAAGCAAGTGTCCCCAGTTACAAGTTAATTAATTTATAATTGCAGTAGCTGTTCGTCACAGTTCCTAAGCGTTATAATAACAATAGTTTGTAATAATACAGTTATATATTGTTCAGCAGAATTTTTTGATTGAATGTGAATGAAATTATTTAAAGCTTCAGGATTTAGACCTGGCAATTTAGAAAAAAAGTCCCATTAATAGCAAATCCATAAAAGTCCCACCAACAGTTAGCCTATATTTTGATACGTCATCGAGACTCTATGCATAAGTTGTAATTAATATATAAATTGAATCTTTTGATACTGTCATTCAAAGGAACGAAGTGACTGAGAGCACGCATTGTAGTAGACACGCATCGTGAATCCAATTGTCTTAATTAGCTTTTTTCGACATGCTATAGAAAAAATGTTTAAAATCTTATTTGAGTTAAGAAGCCATTACTAGTTAAATAAATCTTGAAAGTGAGATTTAAACCTGAGAAGGTAAAAAAAAAGGTTGAAAAAGCGACAAGTTCCCCATACTCACTAGCTACACGAATTTAAATAATTAAGTTGCTTTTTTTCCTTATAGTCGTCTCATTTCCAATCACATTTACTTTATGCAGATATTACACTGATATCGATTAACTTGATTTATTCTCGGAGCTCTGCTCACGACCATATCATCGTTATTTTGAGCAATGTTCAATATCCGGCACAATGGGATTAGATTAGCTATTTTAGATTTTTGGGAGAAAAAAAAATTTAGAGAATAAAGCACATTTTCCATAATGTTTAACCGAAGAAAAACTTTTACGTCATAAGTCTTTCACTTTTTTTGCAGAGATCATTTGGAAGATTTAAAATTCACTTTCCCCTATGGTTCGAACTTCTGAATTCAGGAATTGCAAATGCATTTCAAAATGGGACTTTTCCGAATATAGAACGGTTCCCCAAGAAAAAGATTCTTAAAATATCATTTTGGTTTAACTATATCCTATTAATGGAAGTGAGGAATTTGGTAGAATGTCCATTATTTGCTCACTGGAAAAAAGGATTTTGTTTGAAGGTGTTTACTACTTCTGAAGCAATCATAAATAATCACTGCGTATTTTAGTTGATGGCTAATGAACTCTGAGAAGCATTAGTTGGCGCCCTAAATAACATATTCTGCATTTGGAGATATCGAGAATCAATTCAAAGAAATCCACAACGCAAACAAATTTAGGAAAAAAGGTAAAAGAAGTTCGGCACCACAAGGTGGGAATTATTTGTTGTTGATTTCCAGTCATGCTGAGACAACTGACGCCGCAAAACAGTAAAATCTTTCCCCTGCATCCGTTTCTTTTTTTTTTAAAAGCATATTTAATGCGTACACACTAAGGTTGCGTTAATTTGCTGGATCATACATGTTGCACGTCCACCTCATCTCATCCTCACCTTGCAACAGGCATCAATTATCTCGCAACACCACGTGATGAATCACCTCGATCTAGAATCATTGAAGCATGAAATGTAAGGTTCTGGAGAGTATCGACTACACTAAAACTTCGTCTTACATACGACATCCGACTCCCGCATGTATTTCAGTCTCCAGTATTGTGTAATCTACATAAATACTATATTCCTAACAACTTCCTACATACATAATGAGCCAAGCATTTCGCTCATTCTTTCTTTGAAGCTCATCGCCTATATGGGTCTATTCCGTTCGTTAATAAATTTGATAGACAGAACCTCGCATATACTGGAGCTCTCCCCATAATCGAGCTTAGAGAGTTCCGGAATACAGTAGTAGAACAACCACAGACATCGAACAAATATCACTGCCCGGAAACCCATGCACCCTCCACCCATTAGTTCCTCGTATCAAAACAAAGAAGCTTTGGTTCTCGAAACCTTCCTGTGTTAGAACAGAAGCCACAATTTGCGAACCTTACTCCCAAAGATGCACATCATCCACAGAATTGCGCACTTCCTCCTATTTAAACACAACAAAAAATTCAATCAGTTGTTGAGACCGATCAACCAGTATGCTAGAAAAAAAAAAAAAAAAGTGGTTGTGGATCCAGAAGGATCCTAGAACGATGTCCTAAAAACAGTAGTTTAGCACTTTCTTAACCAATCAATAAATATCCATTCTTTTATTATTATTATTGACCCGCAACATTCAACTTTCAGCAATCATTAATTCCACAATAAATGCAAAAAAGTGACGATCAACAGTTATGCGGAAGATGAAGCTAGAAAACCGCTTGAAGAAAAGGACAAGTATACACAAAACATACTTAGAAAACATCAAGCGGTAGAAAGATTTTTCGGCAAATCCTGGAAAGGCTTTTGGGAGGATAGTCAGAACAAGGCAAGAGTAGCAGAATCCGAGGTGGGAGGCGTTCAAAGTCGGAACGATATTGCTCATCCAACTGGTCGCGATCAACTGCGCTACCATATTTGTCTAATGCCACAAACTGAACGTCTCTGGAAAAATTGGTACATTTGTAATATCCAGAACTTTTCTAGCCAGTATTTTAAATAAAAATAATTTTACGAACGAGATAGGTATTGCACAACACAGGTACCATGGATTTAAAACCTCCTTCCTTCCTGAGTTTGCGACTAACTTCCCTGTTCCTTCCGACTTTTCCCATTTTAATGTTATCCTTTTTTCGCTATTAGTTTCAGGATGAGAACAGTAGCGTACGGTGGACCTCTGTCACTGGTTCGCAGAAAAAGATCATTACTAATATAAAGATTACAGAAAGTCCAAGGTTTCACGAATTTCCTTACCTTAATTTTAAAAGTAGAGCATTACAGTACTACAAATAAAGAAGTGAACGTAAAGAAATCAACGAAAGGCACTGTTTACCCCGCTCAACATTACTCAACAGTTTTTCTTGTCACATACCATTTGAACCAATGAAATTTCTCCGGCTATCAATTAAAAATAATGCAAGAATTATATATACAATTATGCCGCAGAAGCATTTGCAGTTTCCACTCACAAATTTTCAAATACATCATTACTAATTAAGGTAGGAACAATGACAATCATCATATTTCCGTTTACAAGAGGTACGATTTGTTGGTTTTTGTGGAACAGAAGTTCTGTGTTTCTGGATTCGACAACTATGGAAAAGTATTTTCTACTCCTGCTATCCTGGAAGTACTTTTATAGCAAAAAGTCAGTATGATAGAAATGATAGTTCGCTGAAGAGAAGACATATTAATCCAGCGAATTGGGCAGAAATCTGCAGTCCTAATTCTTCCAGCTTTTGAAGTGTTGATAGTCCGACCTATGGTCGGGCAATGTTGTGGAGAATCCGGCCTAATTTCAATTGAATAATTGGTGAATAATTCATTTTAAAAACGCTGCAGATTTTACAATGGCCATAACTTCTTCGAACAAGTTCAGCCTTGGGAAGTGCTTTAGAATTCCTTTACCCAACCACTGAAATGGTCGTAGTCTGCTGCCGCAATAATCCGCTCTTCACTGCACATCATGGTTCGAACAGGAAATGGTAGTTATGCCGCACAGAATAAAAGACGGCAACATTTCAAAACAGCAACTATTCTGATCATCAGTCAGCTAATATGGCACTCACTTTTTATCGGCAAATTTTCGCCCAGTTTGTAAAAGGATTAGTTTCGCTGGTTACTCCAGTTAGTTGCTGTCAACTTCCAAAGGCCGGTTACTAAGCTCGTCACCTTCAAGGATCCCACAGCCTTCGCAAGAATTCTTGAAAAGCAACTGCACTGCATTATAACATGGCCGTACTTGAGCGGAGTAAAGGTCGCATTCATTTAGATAGGTAAAGAGTGTATACCAATACGAGGAAGTGGATTTCGACAGTGTAAAAATCGCGATTACTTTTATACCTTATACATAGAATTGAATAAGTTCTCAAATTTTCTTTTGAGAAAACATAAAAATCTTTTATTGAACTAGACAGTGAAGATGATCTAAAATACCTGAACAACGGGAATCGACGCGGGAATCTGCCGCTATCAGTGACGCTGCGGTTCTCAGATAAAATCACCTGTAGTGCCCGAAGAATGCTGGATTGCTGCACAGCGGCGATTACATGTCGCCATATGCTAATACTACGCTCACTGCTTGGTAATAAACCATCCTAGAAACTACTTTATGATATCCTTAGATTGTGCACAAAATATCACAGTTTATGAATTAATGTAAGACTTCTTGAAATCTGTAGCTTTCAAAATGACAGTGATATCTCCACCAAGACAAAAATTTTTTTGATTTTAACTGATGAGACCACGAACCTTGTGTGACGGGTTTACGAAAAACAGTGGTGTGAATTCTGTATGCAAAATTGGTACGTCATAAACACATCGTATATGAACTGACTGACCAAGCCAGCTAGGAAAATGCGTAGGTAAAGACAAGCGACGAGAATAATAAAGAACGTTCCAGAAAACAATGGGATTAGAGTGCTTCAGTGACGAATATACAGGAAGCAAATAATTTCCGCTTAATAAATTTTCCAACTCACGACGCAAAACAAGTGGACTTAGAAATGGGACCTAAAAATAAAATAATTGATCACTAAAAAAATGCGAAACCCACGAATGACTGCAACAATAATAGGAGAAATTCAAAGGACTAACTGAGAGCTGACTGGCTATAGATTCGTTATCGCCATTACAACGCGACATATTGTCATCATCTGAAGCTTCAGCAGCAAAGGACGACGGCAAATACCAACTACTTTCTACCGGCATTTCTCGCGGATGAATTTTAATAGTCAACGAGGGAACAAAAGCACATTCACAATAGACACAACTTGTATTCAAATTTGATTCGTCGATTGTCCATCCGGACATCAGGTCTTCATCATATACAACCTACAATTCAAAATATGGTTGAAAAAAAAGGATATTGAGAAGGGCAAACAGTTTTCTAGACTCATGAAAATTTTAGGAATTAATGAACCATTCTGCAAGCAGGGCAGAGTGAAGCGGAAGAGATCGCAACATCGATGAGTTCGTGTGGAGTTGAAGCGGAAGCAAAAATCTGGTCGGCTAACCACCAGTCTGATGGGAGCAGTGAACAATGTGAGCCAGAATCCAATTGAAACAACGGGTCATTTAGATGTAGCTGCTAAAAATGAAAAACAAATCGATACAAAGCAATCTCTAATAGCACACAGGGAGAAGGATGATTAACTGACTAGCATCCTGAAAGAGTCAAGATAAATATCAAGAAGAAATGGAATCCGAACCTGATCCGATTGTTCATTAATTTCACGCAGTGAGCTATGAGTACTTTCGCCCCCATCCTTTGCATAGGAACGATTTAAACTGCGGACTTCATTTACCAAAGTGTTGACTCCTTCACGCAGACGTGATGACAAACTTCCAGCTTGTAATACATCATCGTAACCTTTTTCTATTTGATTGACCAAAGATGCCAAACTCGGTGATAATGTGAGCGATGAATCATTTTGTCAAAAGGCGAGTCAAAATTGCCTTAATTTCAATATATTTGCATAGCTCCAGTTTGATAAATTAGTAAGCTTAATTGAAAATCCAACCAACC